TTGCTCAAAAAAGCTCGAATTAGCTCGAAGCCTAAACAGCCTATGTAGATCCAAGCCCCTGAAGAGCCGCCAGGTTCTCCCGGAGATCGCTAGAACCCAGAGCCTTAGGAATTAAACTATATTTCTGCCCATGGGTCCCAAGTTCGGGGTTTTGCTTTGACTTTGCCTTTACCGTGGAGTTCCAGTAACTCTTCACCTGCCTAGAGGCCTGCTAGCCTTAATTGCTTTTGGTCAACCCCCCAATTCTCAAAGTTGGAAGTCGGGACGGGACAAAGAAAAGGGTGGGGGCTACCATGTTGGGAGGGCTTCCAGAAAGGTCGATACAGGGCCAGCTACAGCAAAAGAATCCAGGTTCCGCAGAGTTTGAACCACCATAAAAAAACCAAACATCCCATGTAACGAAGTCTTACAAGCTTTGGAACCCAAATGGCCATATTTATCCAGTAGCACCTATTGCGCAAGCTACCACTCTAGATCCAATCTTTCGATTTATAGAACCCCCAATAAACCTGATTCGTGAAGTCTATATGAACCAATACAGGTGCCCCAGATCCCCAATGGCTGTTGCAGCTTAGTTCCCACAGAGGTTCCCTAATTAAGAGAAGGTATCTAGCTAGGGTGTACGTGGGTTAAACATTATAATCTCGATCTAGTATATACTATTATATACGCAACTAGACTGGGTCCAAGTGGAGGGTGCATGTTCTGTGGGGTTTGAAACATTCGAAACAGTCTTCTTGGGAACATATAGCGAGGTCTCTAGGGTTTCTGGGTCGTATGTTTTAGGGCCAGAAGGTGAAGCATGAGGAGGGCGCTCGCGCGCATGCCTCCCCCCCCTTTCCCCCTCCCCTTTCCTTGAAGGAACGCCTGCTTTACCCTCAAAGGATTAAGTTTATGACCTTGTGCACCCAGGCCAGAGCCCTTTAACCCTTTTGCCCCTAGACAGACCAAGACTCCTTAAGCCCTTAAGCCCCAGAACCCCAATACACCCAAGCCAAGGCAACATTGCGTGTGACTTCTCCGTGAAAGCGCTGCATCTCATCCATCCAGCTGTCTGGAATCCTGGGCTTGAAGGCAGCTCCTGGGGCTTTGTTTTCTGCTTCACCTAGAGGGTTCGGTACAGGGCTTGGGCCACTGGGTGAAAACAAATGCTACAGAAATGCTGACAAGTTGCTGGCAGTGTTTGCACCCATAGAGATATAGAAACACTTTGTGTATTCCAGATTCAAGCCACAAGTCTCCGGTGCACATGTCCCGGAACAGCTCTTTGTCAGACTTCGTCGTAGAATTCACAGACAAACGGGTTCGGAGATCAGCACGCTCTTCAGGGCTTTGGGAGCGCCAGGCTTCGTACACTTGTAGAAGACTTCGTGCGAACTGCACTGTATACACCCTTAGCGC